GAGTGCTCTTTCGCTTCACATGAACGGAGAATTACACACAAAATGATGTTGAATTGTCCATTTTGACGAGTATTCACGTAAACACAGTTGATTACGTCTTAAGTGAACGTAAACAGCAGGGAGAACATGTATCAGTACATTGCATACATTGCAGCTGTGCATTTGGTTTTAAAGGGATAGCACATAGCAGCCTAATTTAGTTGCTATTGTCCGAGTCGTTGATGTTAATCAAGCAACAAAAGAAAGACAGACGAACACATCCCAGAATTCCCTTGCTTCAAGCACTCCAAGACACTTAGGCTATTCAGTTAAAGGAACAGTCAATTAAATGACAATCAAATCAAACAAATACCCTGTGTCAGCGCCAATGGCCTTGTGGTTAGTGCGACAACTCGAGTTTGATTCCCGTCTCAAGGGCCAATCCCGCTCCCCTCTGCCCAATGCTTTCCTGTCAGCTCTCTACTGTCCAATCACAATAAAGGCATAAAAGCCCATAAATATAACTTAAAAAAATACCCTATAAGTAACAAGAACGAAGAAAGAAGTCCCCGTGTGGATTTTCTTGAAGCTGATTACATCAAGTCTTTATTTTTATTGTGTTGAACGGGGGAGTATTGTGACTCCCCCGTTCATTCGCTCTATCCCTCTGTGTCGTGCAGCTATGATTCCTGCCTCTTAAATCTTTCAGTGCATTTGTCTTTATTTAGATGTTCTCTTCCTTCCATAAGTGCGTTTATCAAACATACTTCCTCGCGGATGAGGATAGCCTCCTCTGCAACTGTAAACCCAATGACATTATGGCAATCAAATCATAAAGTGGTGATCTCCAAAGACAAATATTCTCTTTGATATGTCAGCACTAGTCCTAAGATGCGGTGGGCGCTCAAACACATGAACTCAGTATTTGTTTACATTGAGTTGGCCAGAATATCAGGATAAGCAGTGAGTGTTAGTGTACTGCAGTGTGATAACTGTGCAGACTGTGCCATAGAAATAAAATGACTCTGAGAGTTCAGTGTCAAATGCCGTTCAATATGAATTTGAATAATTTGTAGTTGTTCTAAAGCAGATTTATATGGTTTCCCATAAAAGTTCACTAGTTTTTCATGACCTGACTCTCTTTTGACACATTCTGTGTCTTGTATAATGCAGCAGTGCACCGTTGAGTCGCTCCATGTTTTAATGTAGTGCAGGTCGCCCCCTGCTGGACAAATACCTCTACTGGTACTTTAGATAAAATAACACTCAAATTCATTTAATTTCTATTTACTTTGATCATTATCAGCAGCACAGCTATGTAATTTATGAACTCACACTTTAGCATGTCTTTACTGATTGCTATCTATCACGGACTGTCAAAATAATTATACAAGCATTACAATAGCTCATTAAGTACAAGTTGTTAGGCAGCTATGTTATGATAGAAATACTTCATCTTACTAATTGATCATTTATGTTTCTTCAACTATGTGCACTTTTGGCTTTAAAACGTACAGTACTTACTGTTGGATACTTGCGTTACAGAACAGTTGTCTTTTTTCCCCCTCCTAAACTGTGATTAGCAACTGTCATTTCCACCAGTATTATTTATATACTATACGCTGGTGCTAATTAAGCATGAACGCTGAAGCACACTTGATATTCCCAAATGCAGCATGTGACGACCAGTAATGTTTTTGAACCATGTCCACCACTTAACGTAAAGCTAACAGCATTCGCAGTGGTCTCCAAACCTCTCACAAAAGCTTTGTTTAGCCAGGTATGGAAATGGATTCATTACACACTTTAACGTGTCTTATTTCCTTTTGCTTTATTTAGCAGGCACAGGAAGAGAAGTGACCCCCCGACCCGCAGGCCTCCAGCTCGCCCCACTGACACCCACTGCTTGGTCCACCCCTCACAGGGCCACCACGGCAACCATAGCAGCCACGGAAGTCACGGCAACCCAGATTTGGGATCCCCAGTGATGGGCCACTACAGTCCGCGGGACCTGCTGAGAGGAAGAGGACACATGCCCATGGATAGTCCCGAGAGACGTCGACGGACCGGCCACGGCAGCCTGACCAACATCAGCCGGCACGAGTCCATAAAAAAGATGGAGAGCCCTCCCATCCGCAGGTCCACGTCTTCAGGCCAGTACACAAGCTTCTCCGAGCCTCACGGCAAGAGCCTGGATCCAGAGAGCATCGCACAGGTCAGCGGGAAGCGAGCGACGACGCCCCTCACACCATGCGCAGCAGGCCCAGCCCTGTAACATAGTCAGTTACTGCCTCCTGTTACTAATGACTAATGCGTATCTGCAAAACACACTCACACACTCGGTCTCATTTATGAAGCACGAGCAAAGAAAATGTGTAAACCACTCAAAATTCAGTTTAAATGTGCTGTAAGCCAGTGCTTGTCATCCTTTTTGACTTCAAGGCCCCATATTGTCAAAGACAATGTCTGAAAGCTGACCAGCTAGGCTAATATATTTCCTTGCTTTATTTACAGAAACTCGGGAGTGTGAATAGATTAAATATAATTAACCACAATTTATTTTGTGGTTTCTTCAATTGAATGTTCTTAAGAGTTCTCACTCTTTTTGACAAATAAATGTACATGTTGTTCCAGTCATTTGCGATGATTGGATAAGGATTTAAAAAAAAAAATTGCTCAGAAAAGACCAATTTCTACCCAATAAAATAATTTAAATATTATTTTATTTATAGAAATGTCTATGACTTTTAAAATTATTATTATTATTATTATTAGAAATCTAGAAATCATGCTGTTAAAATTCCTGGTTTTCCAAGACCTTGGAAACTGACTGGGGTTCCCCCCCAGTTTTTAGAATTTTCAGCTGTTTTTGCTTACTTTAAAAGATTAAAGGGATAGTTCACCCAAGAATGAAAATTTGATGTTTATCTGCTTACCCCCAGGGCATCCAAGATGTAGGTAACTTTGTTTCTTCAGTAGAACACATTTGATGATTTTTAAGTCCAACCGTTGCAGTCTATCAGTCGTATAATGCATGGCAATGGTAACAAAATCTATGAGAGTAAAATAAACATGCACAGACAAATCCAAATTAAACCCTGCGGCTCGTGACGACACATTGATGTCCTAAGACACGAAACGATCTGTTTGTGCCAGAAACCGAACAGTATTTATATCATTTTTTACCTCTAATACACCACTATCCCTTTAAGTTTGCAGAGGCCTCCTTAGTGAATTAACATGACCTTTCAGTCATTCATGTTTACTGAATAAGGATTTTTAAAAGTATTTTAGCTCACAAAGAGCAATTTCTACCCAATTAAATATTTTAGAGATTAAATCAACTCGAGAAATGTATTTTCATTATAAAAATGTCCATGAGTTTATAATTTGTCTTATTATTTTTTTATGATTTTTTTTTTAGATATTTAATTGAATTTATTTATTTTAAATATAGAAATCACGTTTTTACAATTCCATGTTTTCCAAGACTTTGGAAAATCTGGTTGTCAAGATGAGGCGGTCAAATTAAAAATAAGAATTTGTACCTGTTAATTATTTTAAAAAATTTTTCTTTCTTTAAATAATTTTAAAAGGCAAAGTTTCCTGAGCCCCTCTATTTTTCAAAATGTCTGACTAGCAAATAATTCACATAAATTCATTCTGCTTGTGTTTCATGAATAAGGCCTATTTTCATGTTTAAAATAGTTCTGAGAAAAAGATGGTTTTATTGAGTCCATATTCTAGCCCCAAAAAACTTGATGTCACACACTAAGTAGTATCCACTACTTTAAAAACTCCCCACTGGTTTCACAACAACATTTCCAGTGTCTCTTTAATACTTGTCTCATGTATTGTTTCATGTATACATCAGCTTTATTTAATACTAACAATCTGACCATTTCATGTTCACATATTTGATCTCACTAGTCATGATTCATCATGTTGTCCCCTTGTATTGCATTTGTTTGATGTTTATTATTATAAGCGCTCTAATGCTCTGTCTCTTTCTTGTAGGACATAGAGGAGACGATGAACACTGCTCTAAATGAGCTGAAGGAGCTTGAACGGCAGAGTTCTGCTAAACACGCCCCTGACGTGGTGCTGGACACCCTGGAGCCGATGAAGAACGCTCCCACACCGGCCAGCTCCACCGAGTCCCTGAGCCAACTCCACGGGCTCCTGCTGCGGCCCGCCGTCAAGGAGCTGCCCATGCGCCGCAGCACCAGCTCCTCCAGCGATACCATGAGCACCTTTAAGCCCGCCGTGGCCTCGCGCATGGGGATGCAGCTCAAGCCCCCCACCCTGCGGCCCAAACCCATGGTGGCGATACCCAAAACAGGAGCAGCGCAGCATCTGGCGGCCCCTCCACAGGATCCACTGGACAAATCCTGCTCCATGTGATTCATTGTGGGCGAAACGTTCAGGGACATGAGGACACAATGTAAGATTAGGACCACTGCTGTCAGAGCCAGATTTATAGTGGATTTTAATGCCAATGAGCATAGTGACGTGTGGTTCTTTATTTTGCAACATTTCATTCACTTTAGCGAGTGGACTAAAGCAAATATAGATAACTAAAGATAATAGAAATACATTACTGTGGTTAATGAGGTGACTGTAGTTTTGAACATAGTGTGTATAAAATTCCAACACTACTATAGGGATTATTAATAAACTAGAATAACGTCGCTCACTAAGCATGGTTCTGAGGGAGGATAGAGTTAGTTAAACAGATGTTTACTATTTCAGAGTTAGTCAATTCAAATGAACATTTTTAGATATTCTAGACACCTGCAACTAACGGAAAGCAGTTTATTTGTATCACAAAACTGTTTGCATGCTTGTCTGACACCTTATTTCTTCCCGCAATACTCTGTGTGAATAGATTAAGGAGTTGTGACAATGATATTAAAGAAAGCAACAAATCATTACAGCTTCCTACGGTATGTTGTTAAGGGTGACTTTCTATATATCGGTAGTTTACATCCACTAGAAAAACTGCTAAATGTGAATAATACAGAAACTAAGCGGGGTCTTTGGTTTCTCTGTTTACAGCATAAGGATTGTGGGAAATGTGTCTTTACATCTCAGAGTGTTTTCTTGTCAGGACTCTTTGAAATGATGTGTGGAGTGTTGACGTTGGAGAAACACTGCCATATAAGGGCATGTGATGTCACATCTTCTGCTCGTCCTGATTGGCTGTCGATGTTATGAGCGATTCTAAGTTGTGTCAGCAAGGCTTTACTTTGAATATTATATTTTTGATAGTAATATTTGAATATATGCCCAGGGAGATTGTGTAAACCACATCCGCTTACATTGAAGAAACATTTTCCTAGTTTTTTTTTTCTTCACTTGATTTCTTATTTAGAAAGATAGAAATATATATTGTGTATATAAATGTACATCCATTAAACCTTTGTTCATTACTTTCTCCCAGGAACCAACTGCTCACTATAAACTATTTTTGTAGTATCTATCTGCTTAATTAGATGTAATCTGTCAATAGTCAAGTCTAGCTGCCCAAAAAAAGTATAAGTTCTTTAAGTGCTGCTTAGAGATTGATGCATATAGGCAATGAGAATCTTTTCCCTGTCAGCTTAGCTGTCTAAAACGCTCGGCTTGGTTCTATCCTATAAGCATGAACGATAATCCATTTAGTCGTCATATGCAAGTACTTTTCTAGAAACTTTTGAGGTAATATTTCTTGTTGGTTCACCAAACAAGGGAATGATGCCAATAGCCATGGACTCAGAGACTGTTACTGCAGTGCTTTCGTGGGATAGTGCTGTTTCTTATGTGTGCTTGAGGCCCATTAACCCTTCATAATAATGACACACACAACACCGCACCCAAATTAAGTCAGTCACACGATCTACCCAAAGATAAAGAGTTATGTACAGCATCAGCCACTCCCATGTATTTGCACTCCAAAATTAAAGATTTGGGATTTCATATACAGTATATGAATCTGTGCATCGACATTCACATTATTATGACAGTTTGACAATAGCTTAGTGTGTGTGTGTGTGTAATTGTACTGTATTCACTGATGATTATACAACAGTTTACTCATATTTAGGTAGAATATGCTATGAAATGTGTTTGGCTGATGTTACACAATTGTCCATCGCTGAACCAAGGGGATAAACTGTACCAACTTAAAGAAAAATATAAGCAATGCCTGTTTTTAACATACTAAAGCCTTTTGATTACCGATTTATACTGAACAATATTACAAAGGATTTGTTAAAGTGTTTTTATTTTATTTTCATTTTTAAGAGTGTACATTAGGTAAGCCTTGAAATGTTCTCCCTGCAAAACTACACACAGTAGCAGAATCTCTGTACTTAATTGCTGTTATATCAGTGTCCATGTACATCTCTGTACTATGTACTTGTGAAAGTGCCTTTAAAAACTGTTTTAGAGGAACTTCATCCAATCGTCCTCTGTGCTGTGGCATTCTTATTTCAGATCCACTATACTGAATTGCTATAGGGATTACGGTAAATAAATTATTACTAAGGTTGTTCTGTTTATTAAGTTGTAAGAATGATCAAATAATAAAGATACTGCTTATCCATTGTGACATTGCACTTATGTGAGACTGTATATTTGGTATGCGGCATCCTAACAAGTTGTAGAGCTCTTGGAGGACTGCTCCATCTTTCTAATAAAGAACATCGGTTGGTCAGTTCACTGAGGTGTTGGCTTGTGTCTCCTCCTCAGACAGTGTTGTTTTCATAATGGTAAGATTCTATGTGATGACATGAAGTCTTCACAATGTGATGCTTTCTCTTTAGCTTGAGCTGTAAAAACAAAGACAGCAGTTTAATGATTTCACATTCTAGGCACGATCATTTCCCAATTGTCATAGCTAATGAGGAAGGAGCATAATAGCGTTTTGAAAAACAAGATCTGTTGAAACTTGGTTGTTCTGGTTTCTTTAACCATTCCATTGAAGATACAACATAACATTTACCAGTTCAAACTGACCTGACATTATAAATCACAGCTCAACTGTCAGCAAAATGTTCCACTTAACAATTGTTCTTAAATCAATCTATAATGAGTTTCCACATGCGATCACACTTCTTATGTTGTCATCTCACGCTAATAACATACATGAAATTACATTTTGTTTTATTATTATTGTTATTGTTGTTAATTACCAAACTCTAACAATACAATCAAGTGACAGTGACATGGGATGACGTAATCAGATAGAGAGAGGAAATTAAAAACAGACATTTCACCCCTTAACTACCCTGGAATAGACTTGGTATCATAATACAGTGGTTCCCAACCCTGGTCCTGGAGGCACCCCAACACTGCAAATTTTGCATGTCTCCTTTGTCTGACACACCAGTTTCAGGAGTCTCTACTAATGAGCTGATGACCTGAATCAGGTGTGTTTGATTAAGGAGACATGTGCAGTGTTGGTGTGCCTCCAGGACCAGGGTTGGGAACCACTGTCATAATATACTTGGTTATTTTAGTTAAAACCTGGGATTTTTTTAATGCCTTTTTTTTTTTGTTTCTCTGTGATGTAAAAAGGGAAAATACTTTACCTCAATACCAAACTAAAGAAAAATTAGGCTGTCATTCTTAATTTGTGGATATGAAATTTGCCAAACAAGCTCAAGATTTTAACAGCATTGTCCAAGAGGATAGAATCGATTCAAATTCAATTCACATTTATTTGTATAGCGCTTTTCACAATACACATCGTTTCACAGCAGCTTTACAGAAAATTATTACAAGTGTGATCATAATGATTACAATATAGAGAAAATTTGGCAGTTGTGCATATTGATTCAAGTTGGCATCATCTGGGGTCCTAGCAGAGGTCATCTCTTCAAAGGTTGGGTCATCTGAAGTCTTTCTTTGAGGCTGGATCCACACTGGAGCTGGCGTAATCTCTAGTTCCCTCGAGTTGGGCATCCCGGGGTAGGAGCAGATTCAGAAATATGACAATTTCTTCTTTTATGTCAATTAAATTATTAAAAGGGTTAAAAATAAGTAATGAGATTTCATTCCAGGATGAGACTGAATGGGCACATGTGCTTCCCTGACTGGTCCTGGTGCTTTTTCTACCATCTCCCATAATTCCTCTGGCCTGTCCTGACCATCACTTCACCCACTTAAAGTGCCCCTATTATGGATTTTTGAAAATTACCTTTCATGCAGTGTGTAACACAGCTCTAAGTGAATGAA